AATTCTGCCACGCTTCTCTTACCAGCCTTCTTTTTGCCTTTCATCTCCCTTACGTGTCAAGCAAGCCAGCCACACTGTTTCCAGTGAGCCTGTCTCTATCCCCAAGCCCAGAAATGGACATTTTTGACAGATCTGGGGGATCCACAGAATGACAAAAAATAAAAATAAAAAAAAATATATAGAACTAGAAGTGGTTTAGAGGTCCATCTCCAGGAGCTACGATTCACCTTTTTTTTAATGGATGTAGAGGAAGGCAGGGAAGGGAGAGAACCACAGAAGCAGCCTTGGGAGGCCACATGCAGCAGCAGAACTCTGCACTTTGCCCACCTCTGCCTGAACCTTCTTCAAATCTCCGTGTGATCACCAGCCATCTTCCTTTCTCTTTATTTTCTATGAGGATCCTTCCCCTTTTAAAAGGCCTCTCTGTAGAACTAACTCAGCACTTCAACTCACATTCAACTAATGCCTGTGTGCATACTGTTTCAATTTTTGTAATAAACAGCATTTTTTTGTAATTCTCAGATCTCTCCTGTGGGTGTGCTTCTGGGCTAATTCTTTGCCCTCAGCCATCCCACCCATAGGCCCCAGTTCCTACTACAGGACACTATGATGTTGGGCTAAAGAATCTTAACGTGTGTCAGCCAGAACACATGAATGCTTTGTGAACCAAAGAGGGGATGCCTTTCCCAAATTTGGGGGTTAGATCCACCCTCTTGCTCAGTCCACAAGCTAGTAGTGTCTGGATATAAGTACCTGACTAGCACGATTAGGCGGCTGGTGAGCTCACAGAGCTGTAGCATCAGGGGTCAAGAGTTCGATTGTCCACTGCAGCTGTGTGGAGAAGAAGAGACAGCCTGTGTGGCCTTCAGCAAGCTACATGGTCCCAGAGCACCTCCAAGAAGAGGAAATGGTAAACCATTTGTACATTATATCAAGAAAGCCTTCAACAGGGTTGCCATACATCACATTCAACTTGGTGGCAGCAAATGTTATTAATAAATGAAGATATGTAGTAGGAAGCAAAACATGAGTGTCAATTGTCTGCCACAGATATACAATTTAGTCAGCCAGCGTGGATATTTTGACATATAATATGAAACGCAGGGATGAAGCTCAGAGATTAGAGATCGTTAGGGGGAGGATTTATATGACATTTCACATTTTCTCTGCAACCTACATTTGAACCCATAAGCAAGTTCAAATATGCTTATGAGTAATCTGGAGTTTCTCACCAGGTTACTCATAAATAATGTTCAAACCCACCCATTAGCTCAGACATAGGTTGCAGGGAAAAAAATATGATGTGTCATAGAAATCTTCCCTCCCCCCCAGATCAGTGATTAGTTGAGGGGGATGGAGAGCATAATCTGACAATAGAAGAATGTATAAAGTGAGGCTGGGGAATGAGAAGAAAGTTTATTATAGGAGCAGCTCTTGAGGATGGTCATGAAGGAGGAGGAACTTGGTGATGATGAGTTATAGGTCATTGCAAAGGAACAAGAGAAAAAACAACATTGTACTGAGGGTATATAAAGTATTTCAGAATGAATAATAGAAGTCAAAAATCTCTGAGCACTTTTTTATTTCCACTTCAGGAGGCTTAAAAAAAGACACTGTCACTGTTGTAGTATTACTGCAACAGAAGAGACCCTGTGTGTATCTGACCTTTTGCTTTGACCAATGCAAACATTCTGCAGCTTCCATAAAATCTGCATTTTTCATGCCTATGGGCACTCCAAAGCCCCATTCAATTAAGATGCATGTGGAGAATGACTGAGCACACAGAACTCCCGCCCTTTGGAAAAACAATGTACTCTATGGCCCAAATAATGTCTTACAGATCTCTGAAATTTCTAAGCAGTACTCAGATCTGCTCCCTAGCCCCCCACTGTAACATGAGAACAGTAATCATTGCCCTACCTAATATTAGTACATTGCATTATGCACAAAAATGCATAATACACACACCCATCATATCAAGTCCCTTGCCCTAGCCATGTTCCCCCAAGATGATGGCTTAATTTGCCAGTGTCTTCTGAGTGGCTTTCAAACAAATTACTGTATATAGCAAGATAAACTAAAATTTCTCTTCTTGGATTTTTTTTCCGGCAGTGTGGGGTTCTTTTACTATCATGCACTGAATATGCTTCTTTTCTCTTATTTCTGAACCACCCACAACTCACAGTGTTCATTAGCATCTCTCTTTTAAAAAGAAAAATCTTTAAAAAAAAACTAGGAGAGATCAGCAAACTGAAATGAACAGTGTGTATAACCACTAATTTTGCCAGTTTTTGATGACTGCCAAAAGCAAAAGGGAGACTTTGACAAGTCTCTCTATCTTTAAGAAAGAGAGAGAAAGTATGGATGTTGTCTGCAGAAGGTGGCCACATTACTGAACTCAGAATTGAAACACTGGGCTGCTCCAGAGAAGACAACGCAACCAACCCAGGGAAGAAAGAGATCAGCTCCTGTATTCCCTGCTTTGCTCTCTGAGGTTTTGCATGTTCTATGCTTGTGGGAAATATGTGCCCAAACAGTAGGCAGTAATAAAGTCTTGCGGTCAGGTCAGATGTATAATGGTTTTGAGCTCTGATCTGAGCCAAATCACTATTTCACTGTGTCCCTTTAGGCCAATTGCTTGACCTTCTTATGCCACAATCAAGCCCACTGTCAAATTGGGTAAAGGCACAGCTACAGCAGGAATGGTAAAAGAGGCAGCTACTATCTTAGACTATTATTATTTTTCTACAATAATGCATAAAAACAGCCCCCTTCAGAGAAAAAGTTGAGCATTGGACTTTCCCTGTAGGTTGCTAGTACTACCTGGCTTTTAAAAATCAAAGTAATTAATCATGTGCTGGAGTGTTTCTTCCTCCCAAGAAAGAGGATGAAAAAGGTCTCCAGATACTACACGTCTCGTTATAGCAATCATGGGAGGGGGTATCACTTATTCATTAATATGCTGACTTTACACATGTACCATAACAATCCATTCCATCAGCGAAATGCTTTTTTTTTACAGCCAAATACTTCCACTTGAAATATCAGGAAAAGCACAATGCTACTGCAATATGCAAGACTTGACAAGCAAGAATAAATCCATTGCATTAGTGATCTTGCACTTGAGCAGCAGAACAGCTTATTTAGAAACCATAATAAGGAAAATCACCTTCCAAATTGTACCTTTTAAAGAATAAAACCTTTATTTCCCCAGAGTGTCACAGGCATTTCAAACTCTGCTAACAGGCAATCAAAGTGTATAGGAAATCCTTGCCATTGATTAGGAAGGATTTTGGTAGAACACAAAGTGCTAAAGGCTTAAGAAAACAATGACAACAGACTTCGCTATACTGAACAGAGAGTTGCTTTTAAGAAAAACCAGGATCTAGCAACTCTTAGAATAGACATGATACACCCATAAGACATTCAGTGCTGCTTACATTCTAAGTAATAATGGTGTTTCCAGCATGGTTATCTGACAATTTCTACCCTGCTAACTAGACAGTAACAAATAAAATGAATATAAAACTTCCTCATCACATAGCAAAAAGCCCAAAAGTGCACAGGGTGGCAGTGGTTTCTGAGAACCTACATAAGCAGACATCAGAACCGGGGCCCAAATATTTCATAAAAATCAAGGAGGAAAACATAATGAAAATTAGTAAATAGGATAAGTCTCAGCTCTGAATATTCCACTTCGTTGTTCTGTGCCTGATTAGAGTACATGAAAAACACAGTAAAGGATGAGGCAAGGCGAACATGGTCAGCAACAGGTTGTCCCACTCCTCCAAACAGAATTTTCACTTTTTTTTCCCTTTTGCTGCAGCTCTGTCTGGAACGTTGCTTACATCAAGCTAAAACAGCATCAAAAAATTTTGTTGTGCCCATTCTAGGAGCCTTAGGAAGCAAGATGCCAGCCAGCTAAGTGTTCCAGACCTAACAATGCGCCTTTCATGGCTCTAGCTAGCAGACACATTGCATACAATACAGCGACATCCTCCAGCATCGCGGCTCAGATCAAGACTTCAAGGGCGCCACCTGTTGACGAGACTGAGTTCAGGAGAAAAAGAACAACAGATGTATCCCCATCACCTAAACTTTCAGGGATGTCTCCGCTCGTTTTTGAAAAATCGCCTCGGACTGACGGAAGGCACAAACTTTAATTGCTTCTGATTTGTTTGGCCATGTAAATATGTATGCATGCGATTCAGTGCTTCCTCAACTCCGCATCAGTAGAGAAGCAGGGTCTCTCTCTCTCTCTCTCTCTCTCCCCCTCCCTCCCTTCATCAAGCGCAAGCGCGCGTGTGTGTGTGTGAGAAAGAGAGAGAGAGAGAGAGCCTCACTTAGTCGATCAAATGCTAGGTTCTAATCTACAGCGGAGACTACCAGCCTTCTCCCCATCTCTCCACGCATTATTCATTGCCAATGCTGACCCACGGAGCCGGATGCAGGTATACAGTACATTATATACGGGAGAGGGGGCCGTGAGGCGGAATCAACGCCCCCCCCCCCGTGTGTCACCGTATTATCGTAAGTCATGCAAAGCGCGGAATCCTCTCTATAGAGAAAGAAAATGGGCTTCTATGGGAAAAAAGGGGGGAGGGAGAGAAGCACCAGCTGAAAGAGGCTGTCTGATCCAACTTTCCGCCAGCAGCTCGTGGTTCATGTTTACCACACCGCCTGTCGACTGAGGAACAGTCTCTCTCTCGCTCTCGCTCTCTCTCTCGCCAACAGTCTCTCTCGCTCTCTGGCACCCTGCGTGGCAGCTCCAGCCACTCATCCGGCTCTGGGAAGCTCCTTTTGCTTTTTGCTCTTAAGACCTGACGATCGCTTCCCCCATAAAATCTGGAATTCCTCCCCCCTTTCCCAGCACGGACGACACAACTTCCCTCTTCTTCTGGCAAAGCCAGACCGCCCGAGAGGTGGACTCTCCCCATCAGGCGCCTCGCAGGGATGCTGAGCAGCCCCCCCCCCCCGCGCGCCATGGGGCTTGGACTTACGCTGCTGTTGTAGCCGGACCAGTGCACCATGGCTTGGTTGTGGGCCGAGTCCCCATTGAGGGCAAAGGTCGTGCTGGTCAGTTTCAACTCCTCGCCGCCTCCGCGCACCTTGCCCGGCCGCCCGTCCTCCTTGGAGCCTCTGCCTTGAGCGCGGGTCGCCTTCAGGCCGTCGGAGAAAGTGGCGGCCCGGCTCC